GGGGGGGTCGGGGGGTGAGTGTCAGCATGCTACTGTGGAAGAAGAAGAAGAAGAAGTGTGTGAATATGTTCTGTTTCCAGAGACCCTGGATCTCGGTCGGTCGGTCGGGGGTCGGGGGGGGCTCCACCTGCTCTGTACTGTGCTCCTCTATAGTGGACAAAGTTTTGGTCTCCTGTTTGCATGACCTGGTTAACTATGTTTACATGATCGATGATCAATGAGTATAAAACACACGACTATTATTATGATTATTCTCACTGTTGTACTGAAGATGATGATGTAACACTGTATAATGGAGCTTTATAACGTGAAGTGAGTGACGTCGTCGACGCTGCAGCACCGACGGTGGCCGTGGACTTTTCCTTAACCGCGATGGCGGAGTCTGGACCTGAGTGACACGGCGCTAACACCGTTAACGACTACGGTTTAATTATGTCATTTAACAGCAGAAACCGAGTACTAACTGAGTACTAACTGAGTACTAACTGAGTACTAACTGAGGGACAGGATGCGTTCGTTCTCCTACACCAAGAAAAAGTACTAAAGTACCGTATTTGTAATGGAAACGAAGCCAAACAGCGGCCAAGCCGCAGCCCTCTGATTGGTCAAGACATCACAACATACAATGCATCGCATATACCGCCGAATGTTAGCCTGTACACATGTTAGCTTGTACACGTGTTAGCTTGTACACGTGTTAGCTTGTACACGTGTTAGCTTGTACACCTTAGCCGCACAAACCTTAAGATACATGAAATTAAAAAAAATATATATACATATATACAAGCATATATATATATATATACATATATTAAATCTAATTAATCGTAGGTTAGCTGTGGGAACATATCGATTAATCACGATTAATCAAACAACAACAACAACAACAACAAAAACCCCTTTGTTTCTATATATTTCCCGAACAGGAGAAACGACAGATGTATGTGTTTCACATATATGTCTGTTCGTACGGACTTCCTTCTTCATCCACAGACAAACTCAACATATAAATGACAACTTTTTTTTAATTTTCTCATTAACGATGACGGAGTATAAGCCATATTTGGAATCCCCCCCCCCCCCCCCCCCCCCCCCCGAGACTAACAGCCACAGCTTCCGTCCATGAAATACGGTACTTCCTGGTGTGAAAACGTCACACGTTCATGACATTAACTGACGTCAAGTTCATTTTGTTGCCCGTAACAAATCAATTCAATCGGCCGTCGCTCGGCGATCACTCAGACTTACATGACCGTAATTATGGAACTAAATATGCAAAACTGTGAGTGAAGGGCTTCATGTTCACTGTTAGCTGTTAGCTGTTAGCTAGTGTCGACGGTTTGATGAGCTGGGAATCATTTATGAGGTTTGTTAACGACCACGTGTTGAATCCCGACAGTTTTAGGAGAATATTTTACCCACTATTAACACACATCTAAACACCAATGTATAATATATAAATATGAATATATAAGTATATATTGTATATCTTTTCTTTTTTTTTTGTAAATGCTGTTTTGAGCTACAAATGTATGGATGCAATGCATCATGGGTAACTGAATGCGGTGTGAGAAAATACACATTTGTAACCAGAGAGATACGACTGCAGGAAACGAAAATAAAACCTCCTTGTCTATGCACTGTTTGTTGGTCATTTACACGTCGTCACTTTTATATTTTTAATTTATTTTTGTCTTTTTATTTTTATCTTGAACAGAATTTTTAAAAAATCACTAATTCTAATATAGTTATGTTTTGGTTTACAATAAAACAATTGGTTCTAAAACAATCTTCACAAAATGGGACTGAAACGAATGCAATATCTCTGCCGCCCTCTGCTGGCTGCCTGTAGAACGACTTGCCGAACCAGCCTCTCGGGCCTCCTTGTTTGTTCAGGTCTCCACCTACAAAGTAAAGTGCACCGTAGTGTTGAGGCTGATTTCCTGATATTTATTTTCTTCACATACAAACAAACCCTAAAAAAAAACAAAGCAGAGTTCAAAGGCAACCTTTGAACCTTTTTTTCAATAAAAATAACCGCAACGTTTCTAATCCACGGATCAAACCTGTTTATTTGTCTATAAATACACACACGTTAATGTCAGTCACCTCCGCCGCACACTTTAATTTCTATCGACTTCACAAGACAAATGTCAGTGTTTTTATAACTGCAGTGACAGCAGTATGCAAATAGAAGTACCAACAAATGCAGTAGTATTTTTATTATTCAAATATCAGCCCGACGCAGTACAAACGCAGCTCCCACATATGTAAAAACAGTCGGTAGTTTGATAACGATCCAAAAACATGAGTGTCGATAATACAACCTGCCGACTGCGATACAGCTCCCCTTGAAATGTATTTTTTATAAGGCGCCCTCTACAGCCTAGAGAGTGTACTACATAGTAGGGCACGCCATTTTGTTGTGGTGTCCGAATGTTTACAGAGTAGAAGTTGTCCACTATTATAGGGCAGTCAATGTATCCCATAATGCACCGCCAAATCTAGCGAACATCTGTTGTACACTAGCCAAGCCATATATCCCATCATGCATTGCAGTCGTGACGACATGGCGGAGAGAGAGGAGCAGCGTCCGTACGTCTGTCGTCGTAACTGCGTACCAAAGTAGTACCTGGAACCGTTTTTCCGAGTTTACTATACAGTGCAGTACCTATAATCCCCTACAGAGGAGTGCACTGGATGCACTGGATTGAGTAGTGCATTGTGGGATACATTGAGTGCCTTTTACAGTGGAGTAAACATTCAGACACCATACGTACACTCTGTAGGCTGTAGGGGCCTACAGAGCAACACCGTCGTCCCTTCCAGCCAATAGGAGAGCAGGTTGGGTATTAGCTTCCCGCTGATGTTTCAGTAACTCTGGAACTTCCGTCAGCAGTGAGTCTGGGGAGGCAGCCTTCCACCTCCAGGCTTACAGGCCATCCATCATAAACGTTGGTCTTCTCATCGTTGACAGATTGCTGAGATGTGGGAGACAAAGAAGACAGTCGCTCTGTGATCTTAGCGTTAGCATACTTCTAAAATAGACGGCCTTTTTCCGGCACATGTAGAACAAAACGCCGCGGTGAGCCGCAGGATCACGAACCTTCTCAAAGACGCTTTTCATCCGCGTCCCTGTACTTCCTGCAAACACCCAGCCGTCCCGATGATTTACGGAGTTGATCAGAGTGCTTCCCATTCCTACAAATAACTTCCTCACTTCATCTGTCAACCTGTCACGGAGAACGACGGCGTTTTGTGATGTGAAATCGTTTTTTATCAGTTCAATTTGTACCATTTTGCACTCACGGCGCCGTCACGTCATCAAAGGAGGCCGCCAGGAAAATCAGTCCTGGTCGGAGCGACTGCAGGAATATCAGCAACTGTGCTGAATTCTGGGTATAAAATGTGTTTTCCACTGATCCGTTTTCACCTGAGACAGAAGCGGCGTTTAAAGGATATTGAGAAAAACCTTTGATCGCACGACATCACTTCAAAATACTTCACTCACCATCGAACACCGCGATGTTCAGTCCATGTCTCACGTTGTTCTTGACGGGGCTCATGACGCTGCAGAGAAACCAGGAGTTCACTTCAGTTTACGTTCACAGACCACATCGGAATTTAGCCGCCGTTCGTGAAGTCGCACGTACCTTTTACCGTCAAATCCGATGGTTGGTCCGATAACGTTAGCGAATCCACTCCTGATGTATATGGCGAAATGATCGGCTGGACATTCAATAGAAAAGTCGTGTCGTGTTGGTTTTGGTCGAGTTGTATCTAACGCAGAAATAAAGGAGAAAAATTTGTCACCGTTTCCTGTCGACTAACGCTACAAAATCTAAATGATATTAATATTTACTTTAAACATGGACGCCAGTAAATCAACATAAGAGCGGGGGGGGTGGGGAGACACTTCCATATACTCCGTTGTTAGACTTGAACTAAGCAGAACATCAAAAGCAAAATTTAAAAACTAAAAGTGAAATGAAACAGTGATCTGACCCCGACTCTTCACTTGCTCCTGGAAATATCCCTTGAACGACTTCCTTGAAATTCCCCATACTATTAGGATGGCAACCTCCACGACAGCAACGAGAATAAGCACTGGATACGACAAGACCACACGGATTAGTACTGACAGAGTAGTACTGACAGAGTAGTACTGACTAGTACTGATACTGAGTATCAAAGGAAAAAGATATTTTTTTTAAAAAAAGAAGAAAAAGTACTTCACCTTGTTGTTTCATATCTCTGACCAATGAGCTCCTCCTAAAAGTCAGAGTTGTTGGTCGAGTGTGTGAGAGAGAAGAGTTGCAGACGCAGCAGTAGTACTGGCACTGGTACCGATCATCTATAGCGACACGCCTAAATGTTGGTTTAGATTATTGACACAGAGACGTCCTACAGCTTGTTGCTCTTTGTTTTCAGAACCGTAATCCGCCTTCGTATTAGTTTTACTATTTGCACTATGGCAATGAATGCTGGGTAAAAAGAGGGAGACATATCTCATATCTCACAGCAACTGGAATATATTTTAATATTTTAAATATTTGTTATCTAGTTCCACTGAGAAACTGGTCAGTGGTTTGTTTGTGTTTGTTGACACAGTATTTCTATGATCATATTTTTATATTAATATTTCACATCAGACACTTTTGAAATTTCCGCCAAATAATTTCTCAATGAATTCTTTTTGACTCTGGTTCTAATGAAGCAACGATGAACTTAAAAATATATTTAAAATATATATATATATATATATTTGCAATTTTCCTGCATTCAACTGGTTTGAGCCCATGTACCACCAACTGTATGCGAACCATAGTTTGAGAACCACTACCCATGTGACCAAGTCACACAAACATATAAATACATACATATATACATGTACATGTATTTACTATTATACATGTACACGTATGTGTGTACTATATGCTTCCTGCATAAAGTTAAATTCAGAAATCAACAGACGAAAATAAAAAATTACATGTATTTACTATTATACATGTACATGTACATGTGTACTATATGCAGAAACATGAAGTTAAATTCAGAAATCAACAGACAAAAATAAAAAAAACAAAAAACAGAGAAAATGTTGAAGGTTTTCCGACCTCAGGACTCACCTGCTGGAGGTGACGACCCGGAGCAGAGCAGCTTTTTGTCGTCGTGTGGTGCGGGTGTAAATAGAAGGTGTTGGCGTAGGTGGCTCAACCTGCAGGTCAGAGTTCTTCGTTTTAACTGTGTGGATAAGGTGCGGCCTCTGAAACACAAACACAACCAGAGAATAAATCTGTTTACGACAGTTGGTTTAGACTCTGGACTGAAGAGTTCTTCAGAGGTCGCTCCGTCTGAAGTCTCTTCGTCCGCTCTACGTTGATCCAAGTCTATCGTTGCTGTGACGTAAACAAAGACGAGACGAACAGCTGACGAGAAGATTCAAAAACTCCCAAATTAGAGGAAAAAGTTTAAACAAAACATTTTCTAACTAGAAACTATTTACAAACAAAACAAAACAAAAATATATATCATATAATCACAATCACAATATTATATTATTTTATAATATTATACATTTTATTATAAAGATTTCTCCTGAAACCAAAATAATTTAAGAGAAATATTAAATTTCAAAAATAATTTATACAGGAATTATAAGCAAAAATTCCCATAAAAACTAAATAAAACTGAAAAATATTTTTCAATATAAAAAATAAACAATCATATGAAAGTGCTCTGTGTGTCTTCATAACAAAAGTCTGACCTTAAACTGTTTAGTTTATTGAAAATTATTTTTTTAAATTTTTCAATATAAAAAATAAACAATCACATGAAAGTGCTCTTCATAACAAAAGTCTGACCTAAAACTGTTTAGTTTATTGAATTTTTTTTTTTAAACATTTTGGACTTTTAAACATTTTAGTTAAATTCTATTATTCGATATTTTTTTAAAACAAACCGCAGTTCTGATGACGTAATGTGAAACGTAAATACAGAACAGTCTGAATTTAACTAAATTCACTAACGAGTATTAGTTTCAATATATCGAACACAAGTTTCGATTCGATTCGTAAATGATTTGAATGATGATGTTCGTCCTTTAATAATTCCACAAACATCAGATCTGAACCGGCGTCATTTGAATCTCTTTACTCTTCTGTAACAGCCGCTGCTGTGTCACTGCTGTCACGTCGAAGTATTTATGAAGCACAAACTCAACCGCGGTCAGCAATTTTATCTGCAGCAGCTGGAGTGAATTTACACATGTAGTACCAATAACCTCCACCTGAAGGTGCTCCTGCACCGTTTTCCAGTTCATTAAACGAGCTCTTTCTGACTACACACCGCTGCTGTGATCTGATTTTAATTAAAAAAAAAAAAAAAAAAAGTAAAAAAGTAAAAATTGATTTGATGACCGTTATATTTATACTTCATTTTTCTAATTTTACATCAACAAAAACACTGAAGTAGCTCATTTAACACCGCCGTCAAGAGCGCAGCAAACAGTCACTGCATACAGTGAAAGTCTATATATATATATATATATATATTTTAAATTTTAATTAATTTGAATTTCTGAAGACTATTAAAAAACAACACGGTAAAACGGTTTCTGCTCAATAATTACTTTGAGCAGCCAGTGACATCCAGTGACACTTAATTACTCCCTGGAAGGTGGAGTCATCTTTCTTTAAGTGTGTGATAAATGTAGCTGTTAAAAATATCATGCACCATCACAACACCACAGTGTGGGAGTCCATTAAAGAGTCAGTGGAGTCTGTGCATGAAGAGAGGGTTGTGTTTTTCTTTTAAAGCGGGTTATTAGGAAAGTGGAAAGGAAGAGAAAATATAAGACGCCAGAGGGAGAACAAAAGAGAGAAAAAAAAAAAAAAAATCTTATTTGACAGAATTTCATTTTTCAACAATACTTGATGAACTGGCAGATGCTCTGACTCACATCACAAATATTAATTGTGCAAATTGTAGCCAGGCAAACAGTTTAGGAGTTATTACTCCCACACTCTTCATCTCATAATGAAAATTCTCATTCAGTCCAAATGTGATCGTCGGTGGGAGAGGAGTTCGCCGGGTGAGAGGAGACGAAAAAAAAAGAAAAAAAAAAGATTGCAGTACAGTCAACACGAGTACACGAGTACCTTTGGTAGAACTGTAATAATAAATCTGTTAATAAACAAACACTAAGAATAATCTGATGTTCATTTGTTCATTATCGCAGCGGTCACTGGGGGCGTGGGCGGGGCACGAGCTGGACACTACAACCATTCACCAGCAGGGGATCGCTCACCACTACTGCCACCATGTGGTCCATACGCTCATGTCATATTTTCCATTACGTGCATTATGGGTGTTTCCCTCAGCAGTCTAGGCCTACAAGGTGACAAGAAATTTAAAGGCAAAAAAACAACAGCGTTTTTTTAAGAACATTACCATTAGATGGCAGTAGAGAGTATTGATTACTCTCTTCTTATATGAAGCCCGACATGGTAATCCTAACATTAGACGTTAAGGTAGATTAAGCCACAGATCATACAGTCTACTCCGACTCCTACGGCACCAGTAACCAGTTTATTTTTATGAATCAAACCACATGAAAGAAAAGAGTTTTGTTTTTTTTACCTCTTACACTTTAATCCTTTACACCAACAGTGAGGAGGTCAGGGCGTGGTCCACCCACAGTCGGCTCCTGGCAACGGCCACGCATGCTGTCGCCATCTGCTGGAGAGGTGATGCTGTAACCCATTAGGAAAAAAAATAGAATGATACGATAGGGGGCGCTAAAGCATAACATCATTGAGGACACTAAAATGGCCTCAGCTCCTGGAGCAACAGTCGATATCAGAAATTAATTGTTTGGACAATATCAGCAAAAAGTTAATACTCCGTTAAGAACAAATGTGGAATTTGATGCAAAAATTTTTTTTTTTTTACAGTATATGGTCATTTTTTTCCTCTCCAGAACGTTCTAAACAGAGAAGGATCCAAACGCCCTCACTCTGCGTGTGTTTCTCACCTGTTTCTAACGAATTTCTCAAGTGAAATTAACGACCTCACCGTAGGTCAAAGGGTGGACGACCTGCCCCGTTCATAACAACCACCTTCTTTTACACCTGCTGGGTTTAATCCTGACACACAAATGTTCCGCAAAAACTCAGGACCAGACGTCAGGACAGATCTGGAAACGTCTGAGAAGTTCCTGTTCACAGAATCTTCACAAGAGCGTGAGATAAAAATCCTTCAACGTTTAACTTTTAATCATAATAAGGTCTGATGGATGTGTTTCACCGTAAAGTGTGGAAATATAACACATTCATGACAGACATCAGTGGCAGCTTCAGACCACTAGAGTTCTTAAAGCAAACACATTAAAATATATAGAGGGTGTGAAAAAATACCTCTCTCTCCCTCTCTCTCTCACCGGGGTGATTTTTTTTTTCAACAACTTTAAAAGCCTCTCCAGAGACGACCGGGCCATTTGGACTCTTTAAACCTTTTTATGCACTGTGTGAGACCTTGATGCCTAAGCAGTGAGAGCTCTACAGAAAAGAAAAAAAAAAGAAAAGAAAAGTAATAAAACAGACTTTTATCTCTCCGGAAGCAGGACGACCAAACACTTGCTGGTCGCAGCCTCTCAGACCCGAGACGTGCTGCTGTTCTGTCTGTCCGAGAGTAAAAAAAATAAATAAATCAAATGTGTTTTGGTCGAAGCTCTGAGGAATTATCCCACAAAGACACCGGCTCAAGAAGAGAGGAAACCATGACATGTGACGTGACGAGGAAGGTCACAGCCGTGTCAACTTTCACCGTGGGACAGATGAGAGTTAAACCTACAAACAGTAGCTTCTCCGTGCGCCGACCTTGTCTGACTCCCACTCCCACTGTTCCGGGGCCTCTGTCACCGTCCTCGTCCGTCACCGCTGAACTCTGATCCTCCCCCTCCGTCTCAGCAGGACCCGCACGTCACCACGCTGACAGGAAGCGATGTGACAGATCCGGGGACGGGCTTCTGCCGCGGCGCACTGATTTGGAATAATGGGCTCATTAATTAGCTTTTCATATTCGACAGGGAGGCAGCGTTCTCCAAATGATCAATACTAGCGTTGGCTGTCATCGCCACGAAGAGCGAGATTACTGACGCAATAATTCCACGCGAGTGAAGCCTTAGCCCCAGCCTTAAAAGACAAATGAATCCAATATGAGCTAACAGTGGGGTAGTTAGAGAGCCCATAAACCTAACAGTGCAGTTCATGATGTGTAGCTTAGATAAAGAGGAAATACGAGCAGCAGATATGACAGATGAACAGTGGTTGGTGTTGTGGATCAGAGCCGTGTGCATTCTGACCAAGAAAAAAAAAAAAAAAAAAAATACTCCCCCCCCCCCCCGGACGAAAAGCGGGC